GCACTTAGTTTACAACGGTGGTCTCAATCTCAACTGTTTGCTCTTTCTTTACAGGACTTACTGTGCAGAGATTGCACATAATGTATCCACCAGGAAGAGGAAGGAGATTGTCGAGCGAGCAGCCCAACTAGATGTTGTAGTAACTAACAAGCTTGCTAGGTTGCGCAGCCAGGAAGATGAATGAGTTCCTGGTTTTAGTTAGTATTGTCAACAGATGTTTGTTGTGAAATCAGATGTTTTTGGAAATGTTGCCAAGTTTTGATGGACCATGTAATTTTGTTAGGCGTTTGTCATACCTTGAGATAATATACAGGGAATTATGTGTTTCCATATCCTTTTTCAAAATGATAAAGCTCCATCGATGGTTACTTGAGTAGTGGCCGGGGTTGTTGATACGTACATACTCCTCGGGGCAATGTTGATGCTGTAGTATCTAACAAGCTTACAGAGTAAAGCAATTTCGATGGTCTTGCTTGGGCTGAATTCATTTTAATGCGCAACTATACCTGTGCATTTTTCACTTGAAGTAGTTTCTGTCATTTGCAGCTTGCATGAATCATGTTCAGCTTACTAGTTAAAGTTGTATTCATTCTCCTTCACCTTTCTGTCCACACTAATGCCTTGTTTTGGTCAAACTTTTTGGCTTCCAAGTATCGGGGTTGATATTTTGAGACTTGCTTTTTCATAGGGTTTTAAGACTATAAAGGTTCGAGAGGCATTTTAGATGTGAGTGTATAAATTGAATATTTAGAATTGTGAAATGGTGATAGTATATTAGACTAGATACATGGACTATACTATCTATTTAAGAAAAGGTTTAGTATGGATGTAAATTGCGACCATGGGAACTTGGATAAACAATATTAGAACCTCTGCATAGTCAATCTACTCAAGTTGAGACAAGCGCAAGAATTATACTTCGCTTGTTTTGAGAGAAACTGAACTAGATCCTCCTCCCCAAAATTCTTACATATTTATTTTACTCTGTAAATAAACTCTTTTATGTTAACTAAAAACACTTGTTCAAAACAAGTACTTTGACTTGTAGCTATTATTCGGTTCCCCCTAAAAATACTTCTTGGTTTCCTCTGTATTCAATACAAATCACTATTTGGATAGGATCATATTTGAGACACTTCAACACCTCCACCTTGAACACTTAACCAATGCTCTAGATGAACTGAAAGAGATCTCTTTTGAAGCTGATTGTGATATTTTTTGAAGAATTATTTACACTTGGAATTCGAAATACTACATTTTTCACTTATTGTGATCTTCTTCGGGCTCTTATTGCCCTTTTCTTTGGTCACCGGATGGAAGAGATTCATTGTTCACTGGACATTCAAGGGATAGTACATAATTACCCCTTGAAAGATTGAAAAATATGACCCCCTTATATTTGTTAGAAGTGTGATAAATAGCACCTTCTGTTACTAGCACTTTCAAATCTCAACTAAAACAGTGAATGTCAAGCGCCAATTATAATTTGACACATGTATTGCCTTTTTAAAACTATATAATTTCCTTTTTATTGCTATTTATTTATTTATTTATTTATTTTATCTTTTCTTTTTCTCTTTTCTTTTTATTATTCTTCTCATCACACCTCCTTCTCCAATTGTTAATTCCTTTCCAGTTTCTTTTTTCACTTTTACATTTCTTTCTTTCTTTTTTTTTCTTCTTCTTCTTCTTTTTTCACTTTCAGTTTTCTTCCATTTCAACACTTTTGTTTCACATTCTTAAAATTTTAGCACGAAGGAGTTGGAAATAATACGTTTTGATCATTTTACGCATAAAATCGACCAGCCCAAAGTTGTCAATTTGTGGACGACTCTGTGTTCCGAATATAAAAACCCAATTTGCACGCTCGAGAAGATGAGTCACTGGAGAAAAGTTTTGCGGCCAAATTCTTTATAATTTTCGATGAAACGTATGAAAAGAATTTGACATGGTAAGATTTAAATGAAAAAAGAAGAAGCTGAAAGCGGTATTCTCCAAATTCAAAGCTTGAAAGCTTCGGCTACGCAACATGCGGAAATAGAAGATCCCAATCGATTGAAGAATGGTGTGGAGATGGTGAAATGGGTATAGAGTTATGGGGGGGGGGGGGGGGACAAAAAAGAGAGAAAAAGAAAGAAAAGGAAAAAAAATGATATTGTGGGTTCAAATATGATGGATTACAATTAAAAGTTAATTGATGTTGAAGGTTTGGCTATGGGGAAATTGAGGTGAGGCGCTAATAGAAGAAAGAAGAACATCAAAAAAGGAGAAGAAAACAAAAAAGAAAAAGAAAAGAAGGAGAGAATAAAAGAATAAAAAAAAGAAGAAAGAGAAAAATGACAAAATGAAAAATATAATGATATTTTGGCGCTTTCACGCGCAGTCATTCCAGAAATGTGCCACGTCACGGTTACAGCATTCCTTTCTATTGCGCCTAAAATCTCTATTTCCCCTATATTTCAGGTGTTTCTATTTATGGTTCTTAAGAAGGTACATTACAATAAATCTTCTTTTTCTGCAGCATTGCTTCTATGATCTTAGAAGCACTGGCCGCCGTGGCCCAGCTAAAAAGGTGGTATTAGTTATAGTTTGAACAAAGTCACGGGGCATAGGACCTTCGCAAAATATAAGGGTGCATTCGGTAAAAGGAGACAATCCTAGGTGGGTAATTACGTATTATCCCGACATTCAATATGGAGAACTCGGAAGGTGCGGTCATGGATAAATACTTGAGATTGATGGGAAACTGTCACGTCCCAAACTACCCCCTAGACGTGACTGTCACCCAGCTAACACCACCTGCCAGGCGAACCTCTTTCTCTAACGTTTAACCATTTACAAAACCACTGAGAGACAAAAAAAATGCAGGCCTAATAGTATTATTAATAATAAATAGGAAATGATCATCCAAATACCTTAGTCAATTGATAGGAAAACCAACAATCACTCAAATAATAAAACTCTAGCCCAAATCCCACACTAAGACCATGGAGCATCTAACGGAGTAATATGATTTTTTTATTGACGGGTATGCAAACCCCAAAGGAAAAGGAAATAACTAACACGAACTAGGTAAGTCAGAATCGAAAGCCTCCACGAACAATGCGGTGGCTCACCTCAGCAATAGGATCCACTCGAACAAACTCGTCAGTCACTAGCTCTATCTCCCGCAACGGTATCTGCATAAAGATGCAGGTAAGGAGTGAGTTATACGTAAATATAACCTAGTAAGATCCTCGACCCGCCACTTTAAATACCTCTGGAACAAATGTTAAAAAATACAACAACACGAATGATATAGCAAATATAATAATTATACAATAACTCAATATATGTGTATCAAAAGAGTTATTAAGAATTAACCAACAAGAATATCCACTAAGGACTTATCATTATTGCAGTGAAAGAAATTTACCAACAAGCCTACGAGTCCACAACGACACCACAATGCCTCAAATATGTAACAGAGCATACACAATGCTCGGGTGATGTACAAAGGCATACACAATGCCCCAACATCATGGCGCACAGCCGTATCACACTCAACATCATGGCGCGCAGCCGTATCACACTCAACATCATGGCGCACAACCATATCAAACTCAACATCATGGCGCACACAACCGTATCAAACTCAATATCATGGCGCACAGCCAAATCAAACTATAAGACTCAACCTCATGGCGCACAACCGTATCACACTATCAAACAACTTATAAAATAATATTTTTTTCATAAAATAATATATTTGCGGCTAGTCTAAGACCACCGACTCCGCCAAGCGCACGCTTGTCCCAACACATGGACGAGGCAGAGAAAATACTCTTTCAAAACGGGTTTTAGAAAAGCAAGTATCAAAGCTTAAAGTTTCACTTAGCTCACCAACGGGAAGTTCTCCAACTTTGCAACGCCTAGAACACCAACCAAACGGCCTCCAACGGCCTCAATCTATCCAAAACATTGAATAACACGTCCTAATTAATCTAGGTGAATAATTTCCAAAATCTTAGGACGAATCAAAATCAAAGTCAACCCTCAGTCCAATTAATTAAAAGAATTTGTATACAATTAAGTGTCTAAGAAAGCACTTTCACTGTGCACAAATTGCTGAACAGTGGCTCTCAAAAGTCATCACGTTAGCTATACCATAGATATCCTCAACCTTATCATTACAGTAAGGATATTTTATTGATAATTACTTCCTAGTTAAGAGCAATAACACCGAACTTCATATATTTTTCTGTAACAGTGTCTTCCAAATTTAATATCCTATGTTTAATTGTACTAATAACTCATAATTGCCTAGTTATTTTACCTCACAATCATTACCTGATAATTGTAACATAAATAACAATCATGACTCCAATGTCACATACTAGTCACGTCCATCCACTGGAAAGTTAAAACTATGCACTTTAAATTTTTTCCAATTTCCAAATATTTTAATCATTACCCTCTAATTGTTATATAACGATTGTCTTCTAATTAAGGAAGAAGTAACAAGTCTGCAACGTTACTAATTTTTCCTTAACAATATTTCAATTTCAATTCTTAGTTTATTATTACTTGCAATCATGATATCCTGATTGATTTTCTATCCAAATTCTTAAGCACATCATTGCTATAATGTTTGTCCCTCTATCAATCTACCACTGTATGAAAGAATTAAGAATACACATACCTGGTATCTTTTCTACAACGGTACCAACCCAGTGAGGGGAAATAACCACACCGACACCGTAAGTGCTTTACCCTAATATTCTTTATTGAATGGATCAGCTGTAAAATATATACTCCAATCCCTAAATCCTAATTTTAGTTGTATAAGGTTCAGGTCCGCATTATTATTATTACTATTCCATCTCTATTATTTTCTAAAATTATAAATATTGCTCACTGGTGTACCTAATTATAAATTAGATCCACCAACTATTTATATAGTATGTTATCTTATGTATAATAAATCTTCTTTACTAGCTTAATATTTGAACCAACAGGTACCAACGAAAGTTACTTCTTAAATCTCACGATTAATTAGTACATGACTATATTTCGGGTTATTACAGAAACCGGGAGCATTTCAAGCTTCAGCAGTAGCAGCATGAAAGACATGAAGACAACATCAGCTATGCAAATAACAGCTCCAAGTCCCTTGTTTCAATGCTAAGGGAGAGTATCCATGTGTAATAGCCATGCATGTATAATTCTAGTATCTTAAGGCTGAGGCAGGAAACGAACAGCTATCTTCTCCAAAGCTTGTAATTAAACCTCTCATGAGCGTACATAAAGTATTTCCTGTTCGCAAAGCAGGGACATTATTAGCATATTCTATATTTAACAACTAACTAGTTATCTCCCAAAAAAGAAACAAGATTTTTAAGACTAAAGCTCCAATGACAAGATGTATCTCTCTACCTGATCGCTGTTGGAAGATTTGTCGGTGGCATCCTACTATGCAAATAGGGCACCAGGTACCTCAAGCTTGGCATGATAGGGCACCAGGTACCTAAAGCTATATTTGTGTGCAGCAGCTGCCTTGACTTTAGGTACAACGGGTCAATCATAGGACAGTTTTTAGACATGGCTCCCAGATCAGCATCTAGACATTTGAAGCAGTGCATGCTAATGTCTGATCTCTATATTGGTAACGTTAGCCGAAAGAATGTTACCTATTGTGCATGCTAATTCTGATCTCTACTTTGGTAACGTTACCCTAAAGATCGTTACCTATTCTTGCTCCAAGGAAGGACCCTATATTGGTGTAGAGCATTTCCCTGAATGTTGGTGAGGGCCGTCGAAACTCTTGCAGTTCCCTTAAATTTAAATGTATTCCTGCTTCTGGTGAACAGATTACAAGGCTCCACTAACCTTCTCACAATGATAATCAAAAGGATAATGCTACCAGTAATCTGAACAAGAACAGAAGCCATCCCTAAAGTGATGAAAGCGGCTAGAATCTCTTACAATGATTTCACGTTCAACAATTTTTGCTATGAGCTTGATGGCAGAATGGCAGTCCCCACAGACACGCAGGTTCTTCATTACTGTTATAGTACAACCATGTACAGTCGTAATTAATGCAAAGCAAATAGCAAGCCTCTCACTGTGATACGACAGCAGAACTTCCTTCTGTTCATCCTCTACGTCATGCAATGCATATCTCTGATCAGGGACATAACCATATTCTTTCAACTTTTCCGTCAACCGTTCCAGCTTTTCGTATATCTTATCACTTAGAGGATGCAAAGTATCACCAGAAAGAAATGTATGCCGGATTCCCTTTTGATTAACCCAACTGCATCCCGGTTGTTTTATATTTCCTCTTCTTTTCATATTTCCTCTAATTCTGGCAACATCATTCCATCTACCAGAAAAAGCATAAATATTAGATAATAAAACATAAGCAGCGCTACAATTTGGGTCAAGATGAAAAACTTTTTCTGCAGCTCTTTCGGCCAGTTCTAAGTTTAAATGCTTCTTGCAACCACTAAGCAAAGCTAGCCATATTGACAAATTTGGTCCCATGGGCATACTTTTCACCAAATCCTCTGCCTCTTTTAACTTCCCACTTCTGCAAAGGATATCTACCATACAACTATAATGCTCAAGTGTCACTTCAACAGGTGAGATTTGGGAGATATACTGAAATAAGCGTCTTCCTTTCTCTAGCATGCCAGAATGGCTACAGGCAGCAAGTAGCCCAGTAAATGTGATATCATCCATATCAACCCTTGAACGTACCATCTGGGCAAACAATGTGAGTGCCCAATTTCCACATCCATGTTGTGCAAATCCAACAATGATCGAGTTCCATGAAACAATGTTCTTTTCAGGAATCTCCTTGAATACAATGAGTCCATCGTTTACATTTCCACATTTTGAATACAATACAACTAGCGAATTACCAACAAAGGCATCAGTGTTTNTTTTGAATACAATACAACTAACGAATTACCAACAAAGGCATCAGTGTTCAATCCGAGTTTGACTGCTACACCATGAATCTCTCTGCCAAGATCAATAGACTCCATTTCACAGGAGGAATTTAGGGCACTAGTGAAGGAAGACTGATTGGGAAGTAGACCAATTCTAATCATATCCCCGAACACTTTCAATGCTTCTTTGTGCTTACAATTCAAGCCATACCCTGTCAAAAGAGATGTCCATACAACAACGTTATTGTGCAACCTCTCACTGAATACCTTAGAAGAATCATCCACGTGCATGCAATTAGCATATAATGTTATTAGTGAAGCAGTGACATAAGTATCATACAGATAACCAACCTTTACAACACAGGCATGAATTTCACTACCTAGACCTAAATCCCTTACACTAGCACAAGCTGTGATAACGGAAGCAAAGGTACTAGAAGTGGGCTCAACGCCAAAATCTAGCATCTTCTTAAAAATCAATAGAGCGTCATCACTCCTCCCATGCTGATCAAGCCCGCTAATAACTGACGTCCAAGAAATCACATTCTTATAGGTCATCCGCTCAAACAATTTAACAGCATCCTCCACTCTTCCATTCTCAAAATACCCATAAATCATAGCATTCCAAGCAGCCATATCCCTTTCTGGCATCTCCCTAAACAAACTCTCAGCCTCTTCAACCTTTCCAAACTTCAAAAACCCATTTATCATCGTCGTGTAAGAAATGACATTTCTTTGAGTCATTTCCTTAAAAAGCTTCAATCCCATCTCCATATCCCCACAATTTACACACCCTTTGATCATCAAGTTCCACATAACCGTATCTTTTACAGGCATTTTATCAAACAGCTTCAGTGCCTCACTCAACCTTAGATTCTCAGCATACCCAGCTATCATTTTGGTGCATAAATAGATATTTGGAGATGGAATTCTTTCGAAAAGCTCTCTAGCTTCATCAATTCGTCGGTTCTTTAAGTGCTCAGATAGAATAGAATAGCAAGTGGGGCTAGCTACTCTGAAGAATCTTGCTAAACCAATTAGAGATCTTGATGGAACTGAGATGGTGTATGATTTGGGTGATTGAGATATAGCAACACGAAGAAGGACATGGTTAGGCATGAGAAGAAGCCTGCAGCGGGAAAAGTTCACTACATGTGGATTCAACGGTATTTTAACGACTTCAACGATCGCCTAAGGGAAGATTTAAAAAAAAAAATTAGGCTAAATTACACTAAACACATCTATACCAAAATAACCCCTAAATTATAGTCCTAGGCAGTTTTGATCCTTTAAGTAGAGATATGAGGTAAGAATAAGGCGGTTCAGTTAAATATCCTCATGGAAAAGTTATATTATGCAAATAGAGAAAAAGTAATTTATTTTAGATATATATAAACTGTTGAATTCTCTTATATAAGAAAAAATTCTAGTATAGCAATAGAGGAGTTCAAAATTTAACCAAAATTTAAATCTAAAGATAAGAGTTTGTTAAATATTTGATGCAGATACAAGTTCTAATTTTTGACAAGCTTAAAGGACCAAAATTGTTTAAAAATATATTTAATGGACTATTTTAGACTCATTCCCAAATATAAGGGACTATTTGTGTCATTTTCTCATCAAATATGCACATCTAAAGTTAAATTAACAAAACAAATGGTAAAAATTATTTCCCACTAGTCCATTCCTTTGGCATCAGCAGTTTTCCTCTAGTTTGCAATGTTACAGGCACTTCCACTTTTTCTTGCTAGCTAAAACCATCTCTGGCAAAATTTTGTGACTACAAATTTCATACCCTGTTTAAGGAAATATGTCAAGGTTTTAGAAATTTTACATAGCTCATTTTGTGGTTCAAGCATAATTATATAAGATTTTTATGTTCTTTTTTGTTGAATATATGTAAACCAGTAGTCTACACTACAACAAGAACTACTCATGCATGCTAAAATGGTACATCCATTCTATACTTCTGATACAAGTTCTATTGGGATAGGAATATCACTTTAAGTTCTTCTCTGAAAGAACTAGATAACCAAATATGAAATCCTAAATCAAAGAAGGTTCATTTTTGAAATCAAAGAATGTACCACCTCAAAAGTAATACTTAAAAAAGTTAAGGTGAGAAAGAATCTTGGTTTTTGCTTCCTTGCCTTGATTATGAAGCATTGCCTTTACAACCCGACAAAGCCCTTTACAACAAACAGCCTTAGAAGAAAAGAACCAAAACCTTCTGAGATTATAGCATTTATAAGACCCCCAAGTACTTACAGAAATCACATGCATTTGTACAAAATTATCTTCTTAGCCTAAAATTCTTACAAAGCCTTTATTTCTGATATCATTAAAAAGAGGTGTCAGCTCTTTATAATACCATTTTCAAGAACCAAGAATGGCTGGTGGGCAATTGAAACCTGTTGCTTCTTTGCTTTTGGTCCTTAATTTCTGCATGTATGCTGTTGTTTTAGGGATTGCTGGCTGGGCCATGAACTTTGCCATTGATCATGGTTTCATCATTGGTAAGCACCTTGTCAAAATTCATAGGTTCACTTAATTTGTTGTTCTTTTTAATGATGATGTCCGAGACAGCGCACCCGAACCTCGACTATTTCACAGGATGCATGTTGTACATACCTCTCACCAGCATAAGTTTCGAGTAACTTTATCCACCAAGATATAGACAGATGAAAAGGAATCACTTGGCGTTTTTTTTTTGTCTTTGTTGGGATTCGACCTGATCCCCATAATTTTCACTCATTTCATTGACCATTAGGACATACACTAATTATGCATCTTTTTACTAAGTCTCTGGATTAAGACTGATCATGGTGTGTGTGACTTATTACAGGTGCAGATTTTGATCTTCCAGCACATTTCTCTCCAATTTACTTCCCAATGGGGAATTCTGCCACTGGATTCTTTGTTGTATTTGCTTTGATTGCAGGTGTGGTTGGAGTTGCATCTCTTCTCTCTGGGCTCAACCATATTCGCCAGTGGAACATCGACAGCTTACCAGCTGCTACTTCTGCTGCAGCTATTGCCTGGAGTCTTACACTCCTTGCCATGGGGTAAGTGCATAGTCTTTCACATTCTTGCTCACTAGCATAGTTTTCTTCTCAATGTTTGTGTTCTTTGTATTTACTGTTCTGAATGCCACTAATGAAATTGTCACCCATGCAGCTTTGCATGGAAAGAAGTTCAACTCAACTACAGGAATGCCAAATTGGTGAGGAACTCAATTGATTTCCTAACAGAACCTATAACTCTATACAAAGTCAATCTCTGCAAGTTAAGAAAAATAGTGTAATTAACTTCTTTCATGTTTTCTTTATATCAATTTGCAGAGAACAATGGAAGCATTCTTAATAATTCTATCGTTTACTCAATTGGTATACATCATGGCCATTCATGGTGCTTCAACAAGGAGATAAATAAACTTGGAGAAAATGAGTCATATCGCGTGGAATGTGTTGAACTGTTGATTGAGATTGCTGCTGCTTCTTTTTTCTGTTTTTGTAAGGGTTCTTTGTTTGTTTTGCCAATTTCTTTGTTTCATTTATTCTTGTGTACAAAGTTGGCCAGAGCATGGCTGTTTGTATCTAAAATACCTTTAGTATTGGAATTGTAAGAAGCAAATAAGTGATGCACAAATACTACTCTCCATTGGCTTTTTCCAGAAAATTTGACATTCCCAAGAAAAAGCAATATATATATTTACATATCTCCTGAATTATGAAGGCTCGACAAGGATTTCCTACAGCTATCAAAGTAATATTAGAAAGGATATCAAATCAGCTAGGACTTGCTCATACAACAACAAACTCAATGTAATCCCATAAATGGGATCTGGTACTTGCTCATATGCTAAAGTATTATAAACTACAAAACAGATGTCCAAACTGAACTTTAAAATCTGAACTAACAGATACCTTTCAAAGCATAGTTATTAGTGGCACCTAAACTCCATGGAATAACTCAAATCTAATCAAAAGCTTAGTATTCAGGACAGCGAACAACTGGCTAAGATATCCACAATCCGAATAACCAGTCTAACAGAAAATAACTGTCATTGATGTCAAACTTAGTGAATAAAAGTAAAAGGAGCGACTACTAATAACAAATCGGAGCCTATGTCCAAAAGCCAAGGAATTATATAAGTATATGCTGGTGAAAATTTGATGAACAAAATTCCAAGTGTCCTATGCAACAGGAAAACATAAAACGGCTCTTCCAACTATCCAGGAGCAGATACATCAAACCAATAGACCATACAAGAAATAAGCTACCATTGCAAAATAACAGGACAGCAACTAAGAGACGAGGAGTTCTAAGCTGCTTTCGAACTAAACTAGGACTACTGAACATGTAAGTTTCTATAACAAGACCATAGCGAAACATTGTTCAAGAACATGAAGGCAAGTCATTAACTTCTATAAATCCAAATGCTGCTACTCCATTCCATTCAATCAGCTTCATGCTTCTGCATTGTAAAAAAAAAGCATGTAATAAAAAAAACAAGATCAGGAATATCAATGCTAAACTAAGATATATATATATATATATATATCAATTGCCAGATATATTAAAGGACGTAAACTCGATGGTACGTACATTTATCAGATCTTACAATAAGAGTGGAAAAAGACATGCACGCAAATAGAAACATAAAAAAAATTAAACTTATGTTAGGAGTCTAGTATGTTACAGCACTTTGAATGTCCAGGAAGCTTCCCAGAAAATACAAACGCAGGTACTCCACTTAACTGCCAAATCATTGACAACAGCCACATACACGCAAATCATTTCAGCATGAGATGTGGAGATGAAATTTCTTCTTGTATCTAAATCATATTCATTATCTTGCTCAAACAACAAAAGACTTTCACAAAGGATATCATTAGCACATGTGTATTTCTGAATCCAATTCTCATGATCTTCTAATTCATTTTCCATACAACTCTGCAGATTAATAGCTTTCTGTCTCCCCGCGCAAAAGGGAAACTGGATATCCTACTACTTCACATTATTTCCTTGTCTCAGCTAATAGTAGCAGTTCATAACCTTCTTCCACAGAGACGGTAGTTGATGCATAAAGGCCTCAATATATGCTGCTTTTTCCACTCATACATCTCTAGCTTCCCATGACATCTAAACCCCTATTGAATTACAACAGGAGTATATGTTTGATCTTTTGCACCATGGCTACCCTTGTTCGTGAGCTTTATAACTATCACTATTTGCTAAACCAACTTCTAGAAGGTATTCCATCTCACAAACTATATGACTTCATAAGTCACCATAGTACTCCTTCAAGCAATCTCTTTGACAACACTTCATGTCAACCGTGAATTTCACCCCATTTGTGCCCAGATTTCAAACACTTGAACTAAGCAAGATGTGCAACGTCTAAGATTTCACTGAGAGAGACATTAGTCAACTGTTCTACTGAATCACAGGGTATCTTAACCTACTCCTATTCAGCGAAGCCCATAACAAATCAAACCCTACTATGATATACAACGACAACACCTTCTCAATGCCAAACTAGCTAGAATCAGCTATATGAATCATCACTATCCATTTTGCTCTGTGTCGAACCATTTCATTCCAATACATAATAACTTGGGGTTCTTTAACACTGGATATTCTCTAAAAAATTTAGCAAGTCATGTATGTCTGGTTGATCAACCCATGAAGAGAACATGACAATCTCCCACGACATGGCCTATTCTAGAACTGACATTCTAGAAGGATACATGACAAAATATAGTAGGAGATCCCAAATACCTTATTTGTTGATCAAAACTAGTAACCAGATTTAGTGTGAATATAGAAGTCACACCATTTGCAATCTAACATATCCTATGATAAAACAAATCAAACCCAAGAGTTCAACATTTAGTTCGAGTCCTATAAAGGGTATTTTTGACAGAGGAGAAAAGATTCAAGAATATTAATAAAACTGAAATAAAGGAACAACAACCAACACTCTTGAAGAAAGACCGAAAAAGATGTGTTTGCTGCACCAGAGCTTGAAGAAAACAATCCAAAATGACAACACAGCAGATCAACTTTGCCTTTCTGTTTAGCATGATATAATTTGGACGCAAATACTAATGGAAAATAGCTTTTATTTGATGGTCACTTAAAAGACAAGATTGCATAATAGGATACCATCAATGAGGTGGAATTCAAGTTGACATAATGTGTTTGGAGCAGTTGCAGAAAAGTTAAATCTTTGAGTTTAGGAAGTACAGAGGGTTGCACTTAATTTTTTAGAAAAAGTGATTGCAAAGTAACTGTGGATCAATCGCTGATCTGCACAGTCTCTTCTTTTTAATCATGCTTTCTTCTTGTAGTCAAATTCAGAATAGTCAATCAAAGCCACAAAGCAAAGAACCAATTTTCAGACCCAAAAAGCACTTAAAAACGGTATCAATAGCATAAAGGACATCAAATAAACCAAAAAGACCAAAAGATATACCCAATTAATGAAAGTTAAAACATGTTATTCTTATTGCAAATGTATGACGGGTAAATCATTAAGTGGTTGCAAAAAATAATTTTAAAAAAGGCTGACACCTCACCTTAATTTATCTATTTGATCCTGCAAACAACTCAAACAAGCCACAGCAGCCCTTCCAGGAAGTTGTTTGCACTGGTCGTGAAGGCAACGCCACCTTTAACTGTAAACAGAAATAAATAAAGGTTTTAGAGCACTTTCCACCAAATGATTCGTGCAACTAAGAGAAGTATAGATAACCTGATGGTCATGGAATTCATTAGCTGGAGATTCTTTCACATTATCTGCACAAACACCAACATCAATTGTAGGAGCGTTGTGGGGTGGCTCTACTTTGTCTTCATTTTCTATGTTCACAGAAGCCTTTATATCTGTATTTGCTACAGCATTACCAGTCGATATTGCACTAGCTTCACATGACGCTGCACTAGCTGCTTCATCTCTTTTCTCCAATCTTGTCTCCACCAGCACTTCTGAAACAGTGGCTTTGTCAACTACAACATCCAAATTTTCCATAACAGTATCTAAAGCTGTATCTTTCTCATCCACAACATACAGTTTCTCTGCCCCTTTTTCCTTCACCACCGGTTCAACAGTAGATCCGGTCACATTATCAGCATCTGACGCACTTGTTGTCACTTGAACTACGTCTTCTGATATCGCAGCCTTATCCAAGTCAGAAGCAGAAGTTGTTCCCTCAATGCTATCAGTAACTTGTGTATCATGCAAACAATCACTTTCTTTCACCAATTCAACAGCTGGAGCATTATCAACCACAATATTATTCTTATCACCAACAGCATATTTTTCAACTGAGCTGCCACTACTACTGCTGCTGCTGCTACTAGAACTCCTTCGCAACCCTTCTCTGTTGGACTCAATCATGGGTTCAACATACTCAACATTTATCTTCTGGCCGTCAAATTCGCCCTCAATCTTCAATTCCCTTTCAACCTGCACAACACCTCCGTCCTCATTTCCAACTATCTCCACTTCCTTGCCTTCATCTTTCACTCCATTGGATTTGTTCTCGTCAATTGACTGATCATGTGAAACATCCAATTGCTTCTCCCCATTTTCTACCTCCTCTTCAGTGAACTGGTTTTGGTGATTCTGGTGATCTTGTGAAGCAGGGGAACCACCCTCACTATCACTCTCTTTATCCTCATGTTTCAAATCCTCCTCTCCTGCCATAGATCCACCCATCGGGATTCAATACCAAATGAAAAAGAATGTCACAAGTTAACAATTCCCCATCAGCTTTTATTATTCACAAATCGAAATTAACAACTAAAAGGTAAGCAATAATGAAAGTAACATGGGTTGGTGGGTCATGAATGCTCCCACCAAAACACTTTATGAAACAAACAGACACACACTATACAATCATCATCTATATACACACAACAAGAAAACACCAATAACCAACTAGAATTCCACCAAGAAACATATGGATATGGATAAAATAAAGCAGACCCACAAAGCCAAATTGAGAGACAGATCACAAGCTATAAATTTGTTGAAGATTGAAAAAAAACCACATGGGTATGTCCAAGATTACTTAACAAATCATAAAAAATATTTCTTTTTAGAAAATCAAACAAACAAGAAAAACCAAAACATAGCACAAAGCCTAGTACTCATTAGAGTGTGAAGTACCAGCAAGAACAGAGCCAGTGGTGTTGTGGGAAGTAGGGGTCTCTTTTGATTGCAATTCCTTCTTTTTCTTGGCAGCTTTTCGCTTCTTAGCACCTGATGGCATGTTGTTGGTATAAGGCTAGTAGTAGAGTTGCAAAAGAAAAATGGGATCTTTGTTTCTCTCTGAAAATCTCCAAAATTGAGGAATCTTTTTTAAGAGCTCTCTTTCTCTTTTTGTTTTGTGGTTGTATTGGGGAAATGGGGGGATTTTGAAATGGTACTTTACCACTACTGGAGAAGACTGGCAGATTGTGGGAGATGGCGATTGGGTCCCCTCTGTTTCTTGGAAATCAAACGAAGCGTCACCTTTGTGTGAGGCTGTATTATATTTCTATTTTTTTCCTAGACAGATCAGCATTTTAATTTTATGACACAAATATTCAAGTTTTTCTTTTCCCCCATATTCTGAATCTCTTTTTGTCCTTTTTCGTCTGATTATTTGAAATGTTTACAAAATTGT